TGAAAATCTGATAGTCCTCTTGATTATTGGATGCCCTGGACCATCGGACCATCGCTTATTTCGACCCCTGATATCATCATGAGCTAATAAATATCTATATAATTATTAAGGTTAAAAATATTATCCATTGCGGAAATGAAACTCGCTTACTATTATCCCGTTTGTCTCGCAATGGGTGGTCCAAAAGATAATAGAAGAACCACGGTTTCGTGCGCTACTGCGACACTTCGTCAGGTGATGCGGCGACGTTGCGCGTGAGGCTTATATAGATCCCCCGGTGTGGATGAGCGGCGTACAACTCGCTGGACAGGCGCTGCTGTGATGGCGCGGTCTGACGCATGATGTTTCTTGCGCCGTGCCCGCGGCCTGGCCCGCATCACCTGACGAAGTTCGCCAGAACTATTTGGTTAAATCTGATATAAAATATTCACTTTCGCCTCTCACGCGCACGAAACCGTCGTGTTCTTTATTATCTTTATGTGAGTAGCCCGACGCCCACCTATTGCCCGTATGCCACACACGGAGATCCAGCCCTATACGTAATAATGCGAGTATAAGGTTCGAATGCTGCCATATGTCCTATAACTTGGAGTTTCATGACATTGCATTTATTCCGTACTGGCTATCATAAGAATTATTCCCCTATCTGGCCTCTCGAATTCTCTTCATATTTTACGCTCTTCGACTGGGCAAAGCATAGTATACCCCCAGTACCCCCACCGCCAGTACCTGACTGACAGCCACCCCGAGTATACCCCCACAGCCCTAAGCTTCAATATTTTAATTGCTATGATGTGCAATTCAATATTGAGTGTAACCACTTAAAATGACTTGTTTGTCATCTTTCTGGACATAAGCGTCAGATCACATTTTTACAGCATGCGACGTATTGGCTTCTCGTAAGATCCTAGCCTATATTGCGCAATAATGTGCGAATCTCGTGGAAATGTGCGAAAAAGTGGGCAGCCGATCAGCACATCGTTACATCTCTGTCGTGCTGAGGCGTGTTGAGCGGCACGGTCTACGAGCAGTTCCTCGCCTTCCCGTCAGGCCTTCTTCCTCGGCATGAAGAAGAGAGGATTGGTAAAGGAAGTGGAATGCGGCATTTTTTTATACGTTGCTTCGACTGAAGCGGCACGCTGACAGGCACGTGCATTGGCCGAAAATCTGGACGTTAGTTAAATATTCAAAGTCTATACTGCGGCGTCAGATCTATGCAAACAGCCACTACGATTCTCCTGTGGAATACACTGAGCTTATGCTATAAATGATGGCGTAATGGGTAGATCGCGTTCAGTTATCCCCTATCCCACCCGAGTTGGCCATATACGAATGGGAGTCAGAGTAGCGAACCACTGCTTGCACTGGGCTCATATATAGATATTTCCATCTCACGCGCGTTCCTTTCTAAATAAAATGCGTTTATTTACAGAGCTATAGTCAGCTGTGCAGCTATAGTGAGGCCAGCACGTTTGCATAATGGTGTTATATATATCCTATTGATGAGCAAAATTATGCACTTCGCTCTCAGCATCGTGAGGACGATGCGCCGAATCCCACTATGCTAATGTATGCGTCGCGAATGGCGCGGTAGTAGTAGATCCCAGTTTATTATTTTCCTGTTCATATCCTGCCCTGGTGAAGTCAGATTCGAGTGTATCTATGCCAATAGAATTTCCAGTTATATCGAGTAATGACGTAGAGTTTCTACTTATATACCTATAGTCCGTGACGTTCCACATCTGCAAGCCACAGATGTCCGGTACCCAATACTACCTGCGGCTAACAGCGCGATATCTCGAGAATTGTTGCCATAGTGTCAATGAATCGCGTTAACATCTCGAAGTTACTTAGACTAGTCCTTGCTATACATCTTGTCTCCACTCCACAGCAGTTGCGCTCGAAACAGTGATCTCCTTGCCCGAATGCCTACGCTATGCTAATGCTTTATGGCCGGGAAAATGGTCCGCCTGCCCAACGTTCGGTCGACGTGACTGGCAATAGGAATTTCCTTCGCGCCGTTTTATTACGATCTCGACTGAAGCCGCGCAGCGCTGACAGCACGTGTGCATTCGGTAAAATCTAATATAACAATATTCACTCTCGCCTCCAGCATCGCGCCGACCGATCCCGGAATCCCAGCATATGCTAATGTATGGAGCGAATGGCCGCTGCAACGTGAGGTCCACGCTTGACTGGCAATAGAATTTTCGTTCGGCCCGTTTTATACGTTTCAACTTGAGCCGGGCAGCCGCTGGCACAGCACGTGTGCATGGTAAAATCTGATATAAAACTATTCACTTCGCTCTCAGCATCGCCGCGGCAGCGATTCCGCCAATTCCCCAGCTATGCCTAATGTATGGGCGAATGGCACGCTGCAACGTTGCCGTCGACCGTTGACTGCAATAGAATTTCCTTCGGCCGTTTTATACGTTTCGACTGAAGCCGCGCAGGCTGACAGCACGTCGTGCCATGGTAAATCTGCCATATAAAATATTCACTTCGCTCTCCAGCATCGCGCTACCGCATTTCCCCGAATCCCAGCTATGCTAATGTCATGGCTGCGAACTGGCCCTGCAACGTTGCCGTCGACGTTCGACTGCAATAGATTTCCTTTGGCGGTTTTTATACGTTTCGACTGAAGCCGGGCACGGCTGCACAGCACGTGTGCATCGGTAAAAAATTCTGATATAAAATATTCACTTCGCTTCTCAGCATCGCGCGACGGATTCCTGTCGCTAATCTAATTCTGTTTATCGCGAGTGTCTGAGCTAATGCCTATAGGCGAATGAGCTGGCCATGGCAACGACTATGTTCTACGGTGCTCTGAACTAGGGTCAGTATGACCATATTGCAATCCTTGTCGGCGACATTTCTCAATATTTAACTGTGTGTTGATGTCAGATCTGCGCCACCACGCCGCCGCACGGGCTGAGTCCCAGCAGCGGGTGTGCCATGGTAAAAGTCATGAGAGTATGATGACCTAACGTTTTTCATCTCCTACTGACTAACACTCAAGCATATCGACAGCACGACGCGTTCCAGAACCAGAAATCACCGGCCTTATGTATAATTGTAATGATGCCTTAGAATGGCCGCAAGACAATGCTCTAACGTTGTGGACTCTACAGTACCAAAGCGTGTGTTTTACCCTGGGCAATAGTACTAATTTCCTTTCAGCGCCTCTCAACTGTTGTCACGGTGTTGACTGAACAGTCAGCTAAACTTCCATTTTAGCGCGCAGGGCTGGACGAGCACCTGGGGTGCGCAGTGGGCGTAGATGCTGAGTGATAAGAAATATTCAACTTCGCGTGCGTTCGATGAACAAATCTTACGTGTGCCACTGTATTCTGCTTCCGCATTGCACCGATGTGCGTCTATTGCTAATTAAGGGTGCGCGAGGATTGTTGTCCTATTGGCTATGCAGTAATATCTACATTGTTCTGGAGGGCAAACCCGCCTCTAGCTACATCCCAGTGGCGGATTCCAGGGGGGCACAGGGGCGGTCGCCCCCCCTAGAATTTTTCGGGAAAGGGTATTTTAGCCTAACACCCTCCCTCTCGGGTGCTTTGTGCCCTTGAGCTCGCATGATTCACCCCGCCCCAGCACGATTCGCCCCCCCCCTAAAATTCACTTAGACTGGATCCGCCACCGATCCCTGGCTGCAGACTGTTGTGTCAGTATACTGTTATCATCATAGTATTAAAGATTCCTTTATATAAGTCATAAATAATTAATAAATTTAGTTATATCCATTTTTTTCAGAAATGCGACCAAAATGGTATGACATTGCAAACATACCGTTCAGCGACATGTGGCCAGATGATCATCTATGGTTCCCAATAATGCTGAATGGAGCAAAGTTCGAAGGCTATTTTAAATTCCAAGGAATGGACAATATTTTAGAACACACATTGAAGAAAGTGGATACATTAAATCCAGTATTGTAATTTATTATGTATCTGTATGTATTAATGTAAGCTAGGATTGAATAGCTGTTGAGTGAAATAGATGATTTATTTTAATTACGTATGGGAGCCACCATACCGATTTATTATTATTGACTATATTTGTGTGCAGACGCCGGTTACAGTAACAATACAACAAACACTTGGAAAAAGCAGATCTTAGTTAGTGCTGCAGCGCAATAGCGTACAGCTATGACCCCAGGGTACGTTCCGGCAGTACCCTGGGGGACATAGACCCTATGAGCTCTGCTAACTCCTTCATTCTGAGTTATAAATCTAAACTGCAGTCGTTGGTACGTTGAGCAAGCTAGCCTGATGAGTGGGTGTGCACTGTACATAGGTTATGCATGAATAATTTACTGAAATAATGCCTCCTCGGTAGGAGAGCGCTAGGATGTATTACTCTACAGTCTAAACCTTATGAGGTACAGGCTTAAAACTGTAAAATAAGGTGAAATTTCGAGTACACTGCATTTAATTGCATGAAATCACACGTCTGTAGACCTGTACTACACATAATAGTTTTTTACAGTTTTGTTAACTAGACGTTTATTATAATTGTTAAATTCATCTGTTTTTGCACCAGAAGTGTACACAATCAAGCTACGCGCGTGTCTATAAGAAATAGAAGAAAAGTTGGCGAGCATAACTAAGCTTGGTTTAACAAAACCCCTGTCTGTAGATGGAGTATTAGTGGCGAGCTGCTATGCCATACCTAGCATTATATAGCTTTCTGGACATCTCTACATTGGAAAAGGATGAGAGACAAGTTGAAATTGCACGGATTTAGGTCATGAGTCAACATGCCCAGCACTTCCCAGGCCATGATATGTCTAATAGTACATGTGTACTGCGTGTGTCAGGTTCGGGCATTCCTTTGTGTCAGTAGGGCTGCCAGGGTCTATGTCTCCTTGGGTACTGCCGGAACATACCCTGGGTACGGTCCGGTATACCGTAACGTACCCTGGGCCATCCTTAAAAAATTCTATGTTTGCTGTCCCCCGACCCATGATTTTTTTAGTGGGTAGGTAGGTAGGTAATTTTTTTTTTGTGAGGCATAATAGTTATTTTAAGTCTGTCCTCATGTTTGCCACACATGCTTTGTGTTTCAGTCTTAACTATGAAAAATGTAAAAAATAAATAAAAATTAAAATATGGAACCCAAAATGTAAAAAAAAACTTTTGGGTCGCGGCTATTTTCGTGGGTCGGTCGGAGGACAGCAAACATATAATTTTTTAAGGATGGCCCTGGTACTATCTAATATGCCAGACCGTACCTCGCCTACTCCACTATAAACGAGTAGGGAGTCGCCTACGCCTACTCCCTAACCCTAACCCTAACCCTAACCATATCAGATAGTTACCAGGGTACGTTCCGGTATACCGGACCGTATCCAGGGTACGTTCCGGCAGTACCCTGGGCGACATAGACCCTATCAGCGTCAGTAGGTTGGTCTGCTTGAGTTATCACGTGAAACTAGCATAACCCCTGCAACGAATCGTGTTTATACGTAGTGTAAGCTTCTCTGTGATAAAGAAAACGTGCACAGAAAACACTTTTTTGTAGTAGTTTGGTTGCTTCACTACGACACTGAGGATCGCTGCAAATTCTTGCGTTATTGTGAACGTTTCGCGAGGTTTAGGTTCTGTGTAACTGTGCGCACACGTTAGCTGTCTGTCTAAACGAGGGTTCTCCCACGTCACAGTGCAAGGAATTAGTATTAGTAGATGGCAGCACGTGTTTGTCGGAGTTAGTCAGCTGTTGATCAGCTGTTTGGCATTACAAATTCGAGGCTGTCTCCACAACTAAGGTAACTTTCTAGTTATTTATAGCGCTTCTGTAACTAGGGCAGTATCAGCAGCAGGAGCTTAGCGTTCGTAACACCGGTTTTAAATCTTTCTCTTGCAATAAACGCATCTTCTTTGCTAGTTTTATATATATATGCAAAAGATGCGTCTTGCATATGTATAAACTCTACTGCAGCAGTCTAGTCAATATCATGGAAATTCAGGTGGGTTTAGTATTCACAAACACGTGTTTTACACTTCATAAAATGCGTGAAGATAGTGTCTGTACTCTGTATCTACCGCCGCTGATGCCGACTTATCATCGGGTTTCATCAGTTCTCTTGTCGTATCTCTCGGCAGCGGCTATGCAGTTAGATTTGTGGAAATGTTCATGCCTTAGTCATGGCTTCATAGAGAACTGATGCATATCTACGTATATTAAACTACTTATTAGCTGTGCTACCAGGGTTGGACTAGAACAGTGTTTCATTAAAAGTTGGTTATAATCTGATATATTTTTAATGCAATACGAGGAAGTGTAACGTCCTGTATCAGTACCATTAGTGTTTATTGTGAGGGTTGAAAATTAAATTGTGCAGTCTCATGCTCTCGCATAACTGCACGTGAAGTAATGCATTTATTTCCAATTATCAGCGAGAAACACGATTTCGAAAGTCACACTTTTTTAACAGTTTATTATACCTGTTTAATTCTGCACTGCCTTTTTTGTGCCAGCCCTGTTTTCTATCATGCCACTACCCGATAACTGAATCCTTTCACAAGTTTGCACGTATATTATTTTTCCAAGCCTATGCGCAGCCCGGGGCGATAATCTGAGCGTCATCTTGAAATATTTTCAGAGTGCAATAAAGATGCAAGCGGAAACAGGGTACCTGAAGAGAAATGCCTCCGGCGTGTCGTCGTCGTCCTCACGTAATGGCCTGGAGGTGGAGAATATATTTGCGGGGGGAGAGTCGATCATGAAAGGCACAGGCAGTGGCAGTTGCTTGGAAGTCGCGTTTTACTCCGGTAATGAGGATGACAACACGTGGAATTCTAGCAAGAAAAAGACGAGCATTCACAGGTAAATCTCATTCGTATTTAATTTATGAAGGTCATTATGAAGCGCATTGCTTTTGGCACGTTACCTGATGAATTTACTTTAATATTTATCTATTAGCGAGAAGTTGCATAAGAGCAATGGTGAATGTGAATTCAAACTGCTGACTTTAATGCGAGATATATTAATGGTAAATAGATGAAATACAGTCTAACCTGTGTCAGCAGTCACCTATATCTAGATGAAATACAGTCTAACCTGTGTCAGCAGTCACCTATATATAGATGAAACACATAAATGACATTTTTGGCATTTCCTATAACTATAAGTCGTAGTTATACATAGGGCTGTCATTGGTATCAAATTATTTCGAACGATTATTGATTTTTTTGTTTGTTGATATTTCGATCTGGTTCGATCCGATTCGATTTAATATGTAATAAAACATGAGCCGTGAAAGTACAGTAAACTCATACATAACTTATTTGAGAATACATGCATTGTATTCTACTTTATATGATAACTATGCATTTTATACATCGCTGTGCTTAAATGCAACATGGGCGAAGTATATTTACCTGAATTCAACCAGATTGACCAGGCGTCGCGGCGATAGCGAGTAGACTTCTAAAACTGTGA